CAGAGGCCGGTGCCGGCGTGGGTCCTCTGTAAGCTGAGCGCCGATCCCCTGGGCCCCCGCTTTTCTTTCTCTATACTTTGTCTCTGTGTCTTATTTCTTTTCTCAAGTCTCTCGTTCCACCTAACGAGAAACACCACAGGTGTGGAGGGGCAGGCCACCCCTTCAGGCAAGACCAAGCCCGGACAACCCTTGCGGAGTGACCCTGAAGAAGACGACAAGCCCTACTCCAGTCACACCCGGAAGCTGACTGGTCCACGCACGGCCGAAGCATGAGGAATCTCATCGTGGGATTCATTTTCTTAAATTTTGGACTTATACAGTAAGGGCTTCAACTGACCTTACTCAAACCGGTGACTGTTCCCAGTGTATTCATCAGGTCACTGAGGTAGGACAGCAAATTAAAACAATCTTCCTGCCGGGCGCGGTGGCTCAAGCCTGTAATCCCAGCATTTTGGGAGGCCGAGACGGGCGGATCACGAGGTCAGGAGATCGAGACCATCCTGGCTAACCCAGTGAAACCCCGTCTCTGCTAAAAAAATACAAAAAAAAACTAGCCGGGCGAGGTGGCGGGCGCCTGTAGTCCTAGCTACTCGGGAGGCTGAGGCAGGAGAATGGCGTAAACCCGGGAGGCGGAGCTTGCAGTGAGCTGAGATCCAGCCACTGCACTCCAGCCTGGGCGACAGAGCCAGACTCCGTCTCAAAAAAAAAAAAAAAAACAAACTTTCTGTTCTATAGTTATTATGAATGCATGGAAATGTTGAAAGAAACTTGCTTGTATAATGCCACTCAGAACAAGGTATGTAGCCGGGGAAATGACCAACCTGATGTGTGTTATAACCCATCTGAGCCCCCTGCAACCACTGTTTTCAAAATAAGATTAAGAACTGGCCTTTTCCTAGGTGATACAAGTAAAATAATAACTATAACAGAAGGAAAAGGAATCCCCAAACAAGTAGCCTTAAGATTTGATGCTTGTGCGGCCATTAATAGTAACAAGCTAGGAACAGGATGTGGTTCTCTTAACTGGGAAAGGAGCTACAGAGTAGAAAATAAATATGTTTGTCATGAGTCAGGGGTTTGTGAAAATTGTGCCTATGGCCAAGTGTTATTTGGGATACTTGGAAAAAGAACAAAAAGGACCCGGTTCATCTTCAGAAGGGGAAGCCAACCCCCCCTGTGCTGCCGGTCACTGTAACCCACCGGACCTCATAATCACCCATCCCCTAGACCCCCGCCACCCCTCCTGTGCTGCCGGTCACTGTAACCCACCGGACCTCATCATCACCCGTCCCCTAGACCCCCGCCACCCCTCCTGTGCTGCCGGTCACTGTAACCCACCGGACCTCATAATCATCCGTCCCCTAGACCCCCGCCAACCCTCCTGTGCTGCCGGTCGTTGTAACCCACCGGACCTCATAATCACCCGTCCCCTAGACCCCCGCCAACCCCTCCTGTGCTGCTGGTCACTGTAACCCACCGGACCTCATAATCACCCGTCCCCTAGACCCCCGCCACCCCTCCTGTGCTGCCGGTCACTGTAACCCACTGGAACTAATAATCACCAATCCCCCAGATCCGCGTTGGGAAAAGGGAGAACCCGTAACCCTGGGGATCGATGGGACAGGGTTAAACCCCCATGTTGCCATTTTAGTCCGAGGGGACGTCTACAGGCGCTCTCCCAAACCAGTGTTTCAAACCTTTTATGAGGAGCTGAATCTGCCAGCACCAGAACTTCCGAAAAAGACAAAAAATTTGTTTCTCCAATTAGCAGAAAATGTAGCTCATTCCCTTAATGTTACTTCTTGTTACGTACGCGGGGGAACCACTATGGGAGACTGATGGCCTTGGGAAGCCCGAGAGTTGGTGCCCACTGATCCAGCTCCTGATATAATTCCAGTTCAGAAGGCCCAAGCTAGCAACTTCTGGGTCCTAAAAACCTCAAGTATTGGACACTACCGTACAGCTAGGGAAGGAAAAGACTTTATCATCCCTGTAGGAAAGCTTAATTGTATAGGACGGAAGTTGTACAAACAGCACAACAAAAACAATTACTTGGTGGGGCCTAAATCACACTGAAAAGAACCCATTTAGTAAATTTTCTAAATTAAAAACTGCCTGGGCTCATCCAGAATCTTATCAGGACTGGACTGCTCCCGCTGGACTATACTGGATATGTGGGCACAGAGCCTACATTCGGTTACCTAATAAATGAACAGGTAGTTGTGTTATTGGCACTATTAAACTGTCCTTTTTCTTCTTACCTGTAAAAACGGGTGAGCTCCTAGGTTTCCCCATCTATGCCGCCCGAGAAAAGAGAGGCATAGTTATAGGAAACCGGAAAGATAATGAGTGGCCTCCTGAAAGGATCATACAGTATTACGGGCCTGCCACATGGGCACGAGATGGCTCAGGGGGATACCGAACCCCCATCTACATGCTCAATCGGATCATAGGGTTGCAGGCCGCCTTAGAAATAATTATTAATAAAACTGGCAGAGCTTTGACTGTTTTAGCTCGGCAGGAAACGCAAATGAGAAATGCTATCTATCAGAATAGACTGGCCTTGGACTACTTGCAGCTAAAGGAGGAGTCTGTAGAAAATCTGACTTAACCAATTGCTGCCTACAAATAGATGCTGAAGGACAGGTGGTTGAAAACACAGTCAGGGGCCGGGCGCAGTGGCTCAAGCCTGTAATCCCAGCACTTTGGTAGGCCGAGGCGGGTGGATCACGAGGTCAGGAGATCGAGACCATCCTGGCTAACATGGTGAAACCCCGTCTCTACTAAAAAAATACAAAAAACTAGCCGGGCGTGGTGGCGGGCGCCTGTAGTCCCAGCTACTCGGAGGCTGAGGCGGGAGAATGGTGAACCCGGGAGGTGGAGCTTGCAGTGAGCCGAGATCGGGCCACTGCACTCTAGCCTGGGCCACACAGCGAGACTCCGTCTCAAAAAAAAAAAAAAAAAAAAAAAAACCACAGTCAGGGACATGACAAAGTTGGCACATGTGCCTGTACAGGTTTGGCATGAGTTTGATCCTAGGTCTTTATTTGGAAAATGGTTTCCAGGTTTAGGAGGATTTAAAACCCTCATTGTAGGTGTACTGCTAGCAATAGGAACTTGCTTGCTGCTCCCCTGTGTATTACCCTTGCTTTTTCAAATGATAAAAAGTTTTGTTGCTACTTTGGTTTATCAGAAAACTTCAGCACATGTGTATTATATGAATCACTGTTGCTCTATCTCACAGAGAGACTCAGAAAGTAAAGATGAGAGTGAGAACTGCCACTAAAAAGGTGAAAATTCTCAAAGGGGGGAAATATAGAATGAGACCACCACTTCTCCTGTTGTCCTACCCAGCTTTTCCCCATCTCCCCTTTTCCCCAGTTTATAAGACAGGAAAAGGGAGAGAAAGCAAAACGTTGGAAAGAAACAGAAGATAAATAGTTAAGAACTTTCACCTCCCTTGTCCAGGCGCTCGCCATTGCTCCATCTATGAGACGCCCCCTTCTATAGAAGTAAATTGTCTAGCTAAGGAAAACGTATATTTGAGTGCTACTTCTTTGGCGGCACAGAAAATTTACATATAACACAGTGAGCTGCTCAGATCTCGTCACTGCACTCCAGCCTGGGCGACAGAGTGAGACTCCGTCTCAAAAAAATATATAAAAAACAAGCCAGAAAATGCTGGCCAGGCACGGTGGCTCACACCCGTAATCCCAGCACTTTGGGAGGCTGAGGTGGGCAGATCACCTGAAAACAGGAGTTTGAGACCAGCTTGGCCAACAGTGAAACCCCCGTCTCTGCCAAAAATACAAAAATTAACCTGGGCATGGTGGTGTGCGCCTGTAATCCCAGTTACTCCGGAGGGCTTAGGCGGTAAAACTGCTTGAACTCAGGAGGTGGAGGTTGCGGTGAGCTGAGATCAGGCCACTGCACTCCACCCTGGGTGAGCAAGACTCTGTCGCCAAAAAAACAAACAGGCCAGCTGCGGTGGCTCACGCCTGTAACCCCACCACTTTGGGAGGCTGAGGCAGGAGGATCGCTTGAGCCCAGAAGTTGGAGACCAGCCTGCGCAACAAAGAGAGACCCCGTCTCTTCCAAGAAATAGAAGAGGAGGAGAAAAACCAAATGAGTTCCCCTGCCATAGCCAGACGCCCCCCAAACCATGGCTATAATGAAGGTTTTGGTTTTATTTATTGAGAGGGTCTCACTCTGTCAACCAGGCTGGAGTGCAGTAGTGCGATCTCTGCTCACTGAAACCTCCGCCTCCCATGCTCAGGCGATCCTTCTACCTCAGCCTCCAGGCTAAGAAGCTGGGACCACCGACATGTGCCACCTGACCTGGCTTTTTTTTTTTTTTTTTGAGAGGGCGTTTCACTCTTGTTGTCCATCCTGCAGTGCAATGCAAGGACTTGGCTCAGTGCAACCTCCACTTCCCGGGTTCAAATGATTCTCCTGCCTCAGCCTCCTGAGTACCTGGAATTTCAGGCACCTGCCACCACGCCTGGCTAATTTTTGTATTTTTTTTAAGGAGAGATGGGGTTTTACCATGTTGGCCAGGCTAGTCTGGAACTCCAGACCTCAGGTGATCCACCCGCCTTGGCCTCGCTGAGATTCCAGGCGTGAGCCACCACGCCCAGCCCCATCAAGGTTTTCAGGGCCTAGCTGCAAAGCAGGGGCAGGGGAAGTTACAGGGGCGGTGAAGCACGTGGTACGGGCCAGCATCTGTTTGAAGCCGCTGTGTCTGTTTCCTGTGCGCTTTATGGAGGGAGGCGAAGGAGCACCCGCGTCTGCATGGCTGCAGGATGGGGCACAGGCAGCCGGTCCCAAGCGGCATTCAGGCAGCCGGCCCCGTTGTGGCAGGCACCTCATGTGAAACCCACCCCTCTGTGATTAGGAAATTCTCCAGAAAGCTCCAGCCTCTGTCTTTTCTGTCACCTTTGACCCCAGGAGGACACTAGGGGACCCAAACCCCGCCCCGCATCAGCCAATAGACACAGCAGTGCGGCACCTGTGGGACTTTTATTAGGGGGAGCATTTCCTAAATGTGCAGGGCCGGAAAGGCAGGGGTGGGAGGGGTCCACGGCCAGGCTCCGTGAGTTGTGGTCTCACTGTGGACTCAGGATTAGGGGTGCTCATCCACTGGCCCAGGCCCCTCCCTCTTCAGCCAGCGCATTTGTCTGCTGGTGCTGCTGGACAAAGTCTTCAACACGGGCATCCAACATGGCCTCGGTGAGGACTCCATCGTCGGAGGCATACGCCGTGTCCTAGTGAGGAGAGAGGGAGCTGAGGGAGGCCACCATGGGAGCCCCCCACCCGTAACGCAGGCCAGGGCCCCAAAGTGGGGAGGGTCCAAACCCGGGGCACCAGGACGGCCTCAGGGTGAAACACTGGCTTCCCGCACCTCGGCAGAGCCCAGCATGCGTGTGGACACCGGGAGCGGCCCCTGCAGTGCCACAGCCCTGCCTGCGTCCTCAGCACTGCAGTTTCTCAGTGACTTTCTAATAACGGAAAGCCCGAGGCCGAGCCCCACTGACTGCAGACCCAGGGCAGCTCCCAAGAGGCAGGAGGGAATTGCAGACCCTCTGCGTGTCTCAGCCGTGGCCAGGCAGTGTCCCCGGGTCACAGTGCACCGCAGAACCTCAGACGCTCACCTTCATAGGCCTCCAGGGCAGAGGTAGCCACTGCCCAACCTCAGGGCACATAGGTGCTAGCATCAAGGTCACCCGTGCCTCCACAGGACTTGGTATCCAGCACGCGGAGGCTGGAGCTGCTGGGACTGTGGCCCTTGAAGTCACTTCAAGCACCTCAGGTGCAGCCCTTCTGCCATGGACAGGTCGCTCTCCATCCCAGTGCCAGTGAAAGGTGTGGAGTCCCCAAGGGGAGGCACCCATGGGTCAGGGTGAAGGTTTGGGCACCCCCACTGGGCACTGTGCTTGGGAGTGCACCAGGACGCCTGGAGGAAGCACAGGGCAGGGGATGCTTCCCGGACAGCTGAGGGGGTCCCTCACTCAGTCCCGGCTGTGCCTCCCAGAGGCAGGACTCATCTCACAGGGTAAAGGGGCAGCAGCACACCATCCTCCCACAACACGGCTGCCACGACGGGACCTGCCATGGGGATGACCACGTGGTGCTTGTACTCTCTGGCAGCGCCCACCACTCGCCAAGAGCCACTGTGTGGGGAGACACCGACTGGAGCTGGACCGCCACTGTGGCTCAGGGGCCCAGGTCTGTTCAACATCATTTTTGATCTTGAGCCGACCCAAGAGAGTTGAAACAGGTGTGGGAACCCTCAGGGTGCACCCGAGTGGCTGCACCTCACCCAGGGCCCAGTGGAGGAAAGGGGATGAGCAGATGCTCACGGGGCCACCCCACCAGGAAGCACGGGACCTGGCAGAGCCCACCAGAAGTGACAGCGAAATGTCACGTGGCCTCCTGGGTGGGATTCTCGGCAAGACCCAGTCCCAGGTGGGGCCATGCCCAGCTAATTTTTTATATTTTTAGTAGAAACAGGGTTTCACCATGATAGCCAGGATGGTATCGATCTCCTGACCTCGTGATCCACCCGCCTTGGCCTCCCAAAGTGCTGGGATTACAGGCGTGAGCCACCGTGCCTGGCCACTTTTTTTCTTTTTAATTTTTGAGACAATCTTGCTTTTCTTGCCCAGGCTGGAGTGCAAATGGCACGATCTCGGCTCACTGCAACCTCTGCCTGCCGCATTCACGCGGTTCTCCTGTCTCAGCTTCCCGAGTAGCTGGGATTACAGGCATGCACCACCATGCCCAACTAAGTTTGTATTTGTAGGAGAGATGGGGTTTCTTCACGTTGGTCAGGTTGGCCTCGAACTGCCGACCTCAGGTGATCCACCCGCCTCACACTTTTATGATAAAAACACTCACCAAACCAAGAATTGAAGGATACACCCTAAACACAATGAAAGCCACATATCACAAGCCCATAGGTGACATACTCAGTGGTGGAAACAAAGCTTTTCCTCTGAGGTAAGGAACCAGGCAAGAATGCTTTACCGCTTCTATTCCACACACCACTGGAAGCTCTGGCCAGAGCAATTAGACAAGAAAAAGAAAGGTCATCCAAACTGAAAAGGGACAGGTAAAATCACCTGTTCTCAGATGAAATAATCTTATATGTGGAAAGTCCTAGAATCCATATTGGAAGAAAAAACGCCGTGACATCAGCAAACTTACAGGATACAAAACCAACAGCAAAGAAAGCTTCAGTTCTACATCCCAACAGTGAATAATGTGAACGGGGAATTATGAAACCGTTTCCATTTACAAAAGCAGCGGAAAGAATAAAATACTTGGAAATTCACTTAACCAAGGAGGTGAAAGACTTGTACAATGGAAACTGGCCGGACGCGGTGGCCCATGTCTGAATCCCAGCCCCTTGGGAGGCTGAGGCAGATGGATTACCTCATGTCAGGAGTTCAAGACCAGTCTGGACAACATGGTGAAACATCGTCTCTACTAAAAATACAAACATTAGCCAGGCGTGGTGGCTCAGGCAATCCACTTACCTCGGTCTCTCAAAGTCCTGGGATTACAAGTGTGAGCCAAAGTGCCCAGCACAAAAAACACAACTGTTGAAGGACCAAGTGTGGGGTTGGGCACGGTGGCTCCCCACCACGACTGTGAGCGGCGCGGGATGAGCATCCTTATAAGGGACACCAGAGAGCCGGGTTTCTCTCGCTGCCACATGAGTATCCAGCAAAGAACACTGCACGGGGGGGGACTGAGCAGGCACCCTGACCTTGGGCCTCTGCTTTCAGAGCTGTGGGGACACACGCCCCAGTGGTTAGGGCAGGCTCAGTAGCCAACCACACTCCTGGGTTTTTGTTTTCTGTTTTTTTTTTTTTTTTTTTTGAGACGGAGTCTCACTCTGTTGTTCAGGCACAAACTCGGCTCACTGCAACCTCCACCTCCCAGGTTCAAGTGATCCTCCCACCTCAGCCTCCCAAGCAGCTGGCATTACAGGCGTGCACCATTGGGTCCGGCTAATATTTTTATTTTTTGTAGAGATGGGGTCTCCCCTTGCTTTCCAGGCTGGTCCTGAACTCCTGACTTCAAATAATCTGGCTGACTTGACCTCCCCAAATGCCGGGAAAACAAGCGTGAGCCACCACCACGCCTGGCCTCTGCTTGCTTAGTTGTGGAAAGAGACCTGGTCCCAAGTGGGGACGGCCTGGAACACAGACCTCAGCTGACCCACAAGGATGGGGTTTGAGATCTGAGGCTCTTTGTCACAGCGGCATAACCCAGCCTGTACTGACTAATACAGCCCCTAGAGACCCCGGCTCCAACGTTCAAATCAAGGTAACTGGCTACTTCATGAACCTGTCACACACCAAAGCGCTGCTAGGTGGAGTGACCAGGTTGTCACACAGACTCTGCAGACCCCAGAGGCAGCGATGCCTGTGCATGGCCTTGGTGCCTTCAGCCCCACAGACCTGGTTTTGCTTTTCCAGCAACCCCCAAAGATCAAAGCTTTCCAGATGGCCACGCCCACACTGCTCTGACCCGGCTCCCCGTCCCTGCAGCAGCCACGGAGCTGCAGGAGGGGGGGCCTCCAAGGAGCAGCCGGCTGTGGGACAATCAGAGGTCACTCCTGCCCATGTGTCTGAGCCCGTCAAGCAGGACCAAGGCAATGGACGTGGTCCAGGAAACACAACATCCCTCCAGCCCCACCACCAAACTCAGGCGGGGCCTGTCCCGATGACCATTCACACCAGGGGGTGCCCGTCTGCCAAGGTGAGCATCGAAAGCCTCCCGGCCCACCTGGCAGAGCCCGGATACTAGGATGCCGGACGGGCTTCCTGACCTGTGACCGTCAGCCACGGACATGCCCCACCCTTCCGAGGGCAGGAGCAGGGGCGCGCCACTGTGTGGAGTGGCCGACTGGGGCGGGTGCCCCGTGTCACGTCTGTGCACTGAAAACCCCTCAACAGGAGCTGCTGTGTGACACTGGTGCTGGGACAGGCACAACCGGCCGTCTCCACAACAGTTGGGCTCCCGTCTGGGTGGGTGCGCCCGAGCCCGACTCACCTGCCAGGACTGAACCAGCTGTGCGATCTCCCGGCCCGACATGTGCTCCGTCAGCTCAGCGATCTCCTCGCACTTCCTCCCATAGTCAAACTGGGCCAGCTTCAGGCGCCTGGAGAAGGAGTTCCCAAGTGGGCCGGCCAAGGCAGCGGCTCCCACACCACGAGGTGGGGGCTGGAAGATAGGCAGCCAGGCGGGCACCCATGCCAGATGTCCCCTTGGGAGGGAGTCTTCCTGTGACAGCCAAACTCCACCCTCTCCATGATGCAAACCAGGTCTGGGCTGAGCAGAGAGGTGGCGACTGCTGTGGGGCCTGGAGATGGCCGCACCCCCTCTTCACACCAGCCCTGCCCTCACCTGCCCATTCAGCACCCACAAGGCGCATGGCCTTTACAGTGGCAGTGGCAGAGCCCTGACTTCCAGCAAAAGCATCTCCCTGGAGGCCACAGAAGCCAAGTCATGGTGCCAGGGCTACGAGCAGCCGTGGGAGTGGGAGAGCCCAGGGCAGGGGAGGGCCAAAGGGAAACTGAGGCCGGGACAGCTGGGCTAGCATGGAGCAGGCATCCACGGAGGGGTTGGCAGGGGGAACCAGGCTCTCTTTGGAACAGAGCAGCTTTTGCTGTCACAGGAGACAGCAGGAATTTAGGTCAGGTGCACAGAAGGACTCAGAAACACGTGACCTGGGGACGCCAAGAGGTGGAGCAGCCTCTGCTCATCTGGAGTGTTCCTGAGGCAGCCGGCGTGCAGCCCCAGGGCCTGTCATCACCTGGAGGCCTCTGCCCGCCGTGCCTGCTGCACCCACCACCAGCGACAGGGAGCCTGAAGGCCTCAGGGTACAAGTGCAGCCGGAGCCGCGCCCCACACCATGAGGCTCCAGGGCCAGGCATGGCAGCTGGAGGAAGGCCAGGCCAGCAGCCAGCAGGGAACCATGAGGATCCTCTCCAGTCCCAATATGGGGCTCTCATGAGGAGCGTCTCCCTTGAATCCCAACATGGGGGTCTCAGAGCAACACTCCACGTCACCTCCCCTCACCTCCAGGGCCTGAGGCTGGCTGGGCACAGTGGCTGGCATCTGTAATCCCTGCACTGTGGGAGGCCAAGGCGGGCAGATCACCTGAGGTCAGGGTTTCGAGACCAGCCTGGCCAACATGGTGAAACTGCATCTCTACAAAAATGCAAAAAGCAGTGGGGCGTGGTGGCAGGCACCTATAATCGCAGCTACTCAGGAGGCTGAGGCAGGCGAATCGCGTGAACCCAGGAGGCGGAGGTTGCAGTCAGCTGAGATCGTGCCACTGCACTCCAGCCTGGGGCACAGAGCGAGACTGTCTCAAAAAAAAAAAGTTGAAGGTTTGTAAGTGATGGTGGACTTTGCCCCCAAACCCGAGGAGACGCCACCAGGCTGTTCTCAGGTGGGGATGAGGAAAGGGTGGTGGCACCTCCCTGAGTGCGGCCTCTGGGACCCTTGGGGCCCACAGGGCTCCTGCTCAAAACCGCAGGGCAGGGAGGCGGTGCCACCCCGGAGATTGGGCCTGCTGGGATCGTCTGGAGAGCAGGGCCGGGGGTGGGCCCTGAGCGAGGGTCCCTGGACAGGGGTGGGTAAAGCGAGACACTTACTGTTTTCCTTCTGTTGCCGGGATAAGAACATACTTGTCAAGATACATTCTCACCAGGCGCTCCCGCTCCTCCAGCCTGGGCAGGTCGAAGTGAACCATCACATCGATGCGGTCGTGGATGTCCCAGTGTAACTGCTCGGGGTGGCGGCTGGTCAGGACCAGCATGAATCTGCGGAGCAGGGATGGGGAAGGAAATGCTGGGGCTGCCGGCCAAACTGCCCCGAGGGGAACACGGGCTCCTTAGTCCCCCCAGGGGGACTTTCCGGGAGAATCTAAAGCGGCAGCTTGTGAGCACAGGAAACACCGGGAGGACGCGGCACAGCCTTGGTCACCGCCTGCCCCACCACGCCCAGCTGTCCCCCCGCCCGGCTACCGGAGCCTCTGTTCTCACCCCGTGTGGCGCTTCCCTGCTGACACTCGCCCAGCGTGATAGGCAGCGCCAGGACCACCACTCCTCCTGCTGCCTGAGCCCTGCCGTGCTGGGAGCAGGGATGCGGCACCCAGAGTCCATGTCAAAAATATGGCCACGCCAGCCAGGAGCAGGACCTCAGGGGCTCGGGTGCAGCGGAGGCTCAGCAGGGCCTCAGCCCTGCCTCTCTGGGAAGGACCTGAGCCAGGGCTCCAGGGAGCGTCTACGGGCAGCAGCTGAGCCAGGGAGCCCAACACGCCTGAGGAGTCGGCCACGGCCGCCTGGCAGGACTTGATCCTCCGTGTGACATGTGACTGGGGCTGGAGGGGCCCAGGAGACTAAAAAACTCAAACTTAGGGGATTTGGGAGGGGCTAGGGAGCCTGGCCATGGGGCCATCCACCTACTGGGGACGTCTGGGCAGCAGCTCACGGAGGACGCACAATGTGGGGAGGGCCCCTAACCTGGAGGGTGCACCCCTGTCCAGCATCTGGGTCGGGGGGCCAAGGCCCCAGGCTCCGCCCAAACACACAAGACCTGCTCGTGCCCAGCTTCCCGTGTGAACAAACATGTCTCCATCTCCCACACCAGGGCACCCACACCCTGCAAGGGAGGCCCCAGCAGAGCCTCAGACCATCAGACCACCTCCCTTGCCGGCACAGGACCGCGGAAACCCAGGGGCAGAGGGACCTGAAAGCTGGGGCGGCATCGCACAGGGCCTTGAGGACAGGACTGACCCCGGCTCTGCCCAGGAGGCCCCCGCATGTTCCTCAGTGACGCCCCATGCTGTCCCAAGATGGACCGTTCCCAGGGGACATCCGAGGTGGGCATGTTGAGGCCATGGGTGCTGCCCAGCACTGTGATCCAGGGCCCCTGAGGTCCCTCGGTGGGAACCAAGGGCGATGGCTGCAAAGCCCTACCCAGGGGCCCAGGACCCGAGGGGCTCCCTCACTTGTTGCTGCGATCCTTCATGTGGTTTAGGAAGGCGTTCTGGGTGGCTTTGAGATCCTCGTTTATCTCCTCCTGCAGAGAGAAGGTTCAAGCCTTAGGCACCAGGAGCAAAGCCTTGTAAACAGCCACAGCAGAAGGTCCCACAGGCCTCCCTCCTGCAGGGAGCAGGGACGCGGCCACACTTTCATGGATCTAAACTCAAAAGCCTGACCAGGGCCAGGGACGGTGGCTCATGCATGTAACGTAGTATTTTGGGAGGCCGAGGTGGGCAGATCACCTGAGGTAGGGAGTTTGAGAACATCCTGGCCAACATGGTGAGACCCCGTCTCTACTAAAAATACAAGAATCAGCCAGGCTCAGTGGCACAACTGTGGTCCCAGCTACGTGGGAGGCTGAAGCAGGAGAATCACTTCAACCTGAGAGGCAGAGGTTGCAGCGAGCCGAAATCGCACCGATGCACTCCAGCATGGGCGACAGAGTGTGACTCTGTATCAAAAACAAAAACAAAAACAAAAAAAACCCTGACTGGGCATGGGGGCTCACGTCTGTAATCCCAGAACTTCACGAGGTCAAGGCGGGAGCATCTCTGATAGCTCAGAAGTTTGAGCCCAGCCTGGGTAACGAGGGAGTAAGTCCATGTCTACTAACATTACAAAAAAACAGCCGGGGGCGATGGCTCACGCCTATAATCCCAGCACTTTGGGAGGCCAAGGTGGCCGGATCACAATGTCAGGAGATCGAGGCCATCCTGGCTAACACTATGAAACCCCGTCTCTACTAATAAATACAAAACAAAAATAGCCGAGCGTGGTGGCGGGCGCCTGTAGTCCCAGCTACTTGGGAGGCTGAGGCAGGAGAATGCCATGAAACCGGGAGGCGGAGCTTGCAGTGAGCTGAGATTCCGCCGCTGTACTTTAGCCTGGGCGACAGAGCGAGGCTCCGTCTCAAAAAAAAAAAAAAAATTAGCCGGGACCAGGCACAGTGGCTCACGACTGTAATCCCAGCAGTTTGGGAGGCTGAGGTGGGCGGGTCACCTGAGGTCAGGAGTTTAGGACTAGCCTGACTGACATGGAGAAATCCCTTGTCTACTAAAAAAAAATACAAAATGAGCCGGGCGTGGTGGTACAAGACTGTAATCCCAGCTACTTGGGAGGCTGAGGCAGGAGAATTGCTTGAACCCAGGGGGAGGAGGTTGCAGTGAGCCAAGATTGCGCCACCGCACTCCAGCCTGGGCAACAAGAGCAAAACTCCATCACAAAAAAAAAAATTAGCCGGGCATGGCACTGTGCCCCTGCAGTCCTGGCTACGCGGGCGGCTGAGGCAGGAGGACGGCTTGAGCTTGAAAGGTCGAGGCAACAGTGAGCTGTGATCGCGCCACTGCACTCCAGCCTGGGCGACAGAGACGCTGCCTTAACATAAGAACTGTATGGCTGGGCGTGGTGGATCACGCATGTAATCCCAGCATTTCGGGAGGCCAGGCAGGGAGGTCATTTGAGGTCAGGAGTCCTCAACCAGCCTGACCAAAATGGTGAAACCCCATCTGTACTAACAATACAAAAAATGCCTATAATCCCAGCTACTCAGAGGGCTGAGGCAGGAGACTAGCTTGAACCCAGGTGGTGGAGGTTGTAGTGAGCCAAGACCGTGCCACTGCAGGCCAGCTAAAGGGATAGAGTGTGACTTTATCTCAAATAAATAAGAATAAAAATAGACCGGTGCGGTGGCTCACACCTGTAATACCAGCACTTTGGGAGGCTGAGGCAGGTGCATCACGAGGTCAAGAGATCTAGACCATCATGGCCAACATGGTGAAACCCCATCTCTAGTAAAAATACAAAAATTAGCCGGGTATGGTGGCAGGTGCCTATAATCCCAGCTACTTGGGAGGATGAAGCAGGAGAATAGCTTCAACTAGAGGTTGGAGTGAGCTGAGATCGTGCCACTGAACTTCACTCTGACAAGAGACTGGAGACAACATCTCGAAACAAAACAAAACAACCCTCAAAAGCCAAACCTTAACTTTAAGCTGACCAAAAAAAAAAAAATGCTGGTTTTCACTCAAAACTTAGAGAAAAAGGGCCGGGCGCGGTGGCTCAAGCCTGTAATCCCAGCACTTTGGGAGGCCGAGACGGGCGGATCACGAGGCCAGGAGATCGAGAGACGATCCCGGCTAACACGGTGAAACCCCGTCTCTACTAAAAAAAAATACAAAAAACTAGCCGGGCGAGGTGGCGGGCGCCTGTAGTCCCAGCTACTCGGGAGGCTGAGGCAGGAGAATGGCGTGAACCCGGGAGGCGGAGCTTGCAGTGAGCTGAGATCCGGCCACTGCACTCCAGCCTGGGTGACAGAGCAAGACTCCGTCTCAAAAAAAAAAAAAAAAAAAAAAACAAAAAAAAACTTAGAGAAAAAGGAATTGAGCAGCGGGCTGCAGCCTGGTCCAAGATGAGGGACGCACCCGCCCCACCACCTCCCTGTGGCCAGACAGAGGCTTAGTGACACTCACAGTGGCTGGCTTCGAAAGGAAGGCGTCCGCGTCGTCCATGAAAAGCAGGAGGCTGTGAACGAGAGGGAGGCCAAGCACGGGGAGAGTGACACCTGGAGCGGCCCACAGCAGCGTCTGGCTGTGGCGGGAGCAGGCTGAGCGGGCAGATCCCGAAGGGGTGCAACCTCTGCCCCATCGGGAACCCTAAGTCCTGGATCTGACAGAAGCCCATCAGCCTGGCCTCTGGGCAGCTGACCACGGCCCAGCCTCACAAGGCCCCAGGAAGCCAATGGCACACACAGGCTTCACCCCCACCCGGCCCAGTGCAGCGCTGGCGGCTGCTCAGAGTCCACACCAGGGGCAGGATCTTCTAAAGTGAAAGGTCAAAGGCCAGAGGGGAGGGTGCCAGCCATGAGGAATGTGGTGCCAACGGGGAGAGCTGATGTCGCAAGCGTGTCCCAGCTATTAATCTATTAAACGGTGTGTGACTTTAATAGGCACACACCCTATTGTGTGCCATGCTGTCTTCAGCTAACTTCCAAATGGTTCTACCAAAAGGAGCCGGTGTCCACGCCCACCTGCACGCGTGTCGGAGGGAGGGCGGCCGTGGAGGTGGCGCCCCTGCAGCTGTGAAGAACCCTCTGCCCCTACAGCCACCCACCTCCCTTCTGTCCTGAGCCAAGTATCCCACTGGCAGCCTCCGCACGCTGGGGGCCTCGTGGCCACCAGGGTCCACGCTCAGGGGACCTTCCCTCCGAGGGACCCTCCGCCCGGCCTCCTGCGTGGCCACAAGGACAGAGCTGCAGAAAGACCACGAGGTCCCGGAAAGCCACCTGGACCCCCTTCCCCGAAGGCAGCCTGCTGGGCCGCAGTGAAGGGCCTGTGTGCATGCTGTGGGGACGTCTCACCCGCGCCGGCTGGTATTGGCCCAGTCAAACAGCTTGTGCATGGCGGTGACGCCTTCCCGCCCCATGGGGGCCACGTCCCTGCCTGTCGTGATGGCGTAGTCCATGCCCAAGTTCAGGGCGAGATTCTACACGGGAAGAGTGAGGGGAGACAGAACAGATGTTCCCTCCGCCTCTGCAAAGCCTGCACACACCACCCGGAGTGTGGAGCCCCTGCCGGGCGTCCCTGCCTGGAAGCCACAGCCTGGAAGCCACAGCCTGCCAAACAGGCGACGTCCCCTGCCTGGAAGATGGGAGGCGCTCTTACCCACACCGGCACGCTGACCCTACCTGAGGGTGGCCAAAGGACTAAGGAGAGTCCATTCCCCAGGCAACTGAGCCCCCCAGACACCTGCAGGCAGGTGAGACCCCAGCGGCCCCTGGCCCACCTGCACAGCCAGGTGCTCTCACCTTGGCAATGAGCGTCTTCCCGGTGCCTGGCGGCCCGTACATCAGGACATTCCTATACAGGCCGTGGTTCTTCTTCGTGTTCCTTGTTGCTATGGCCACGTTGCGCACCTGCACTTCCAGGCTGGGCTGCCGGGGAAGACGGGGGCTTGGGGGACACACTCTGCGCCCAGGGAAGCCTCAGGGGCAGGGGCTGCAGCAATGCCCTGTTGTGGACTCCACTCCTCGGGGTGCCGCCCAGGTCACGGACAGCCTATCCCCGACAGGGGCAAAGCAGTCGCATCTCAGAAGCCGAAAGCTCCTGGGTGACTCCTCGAGTGCCAGCAAGGGCCGCAGCACGGCCCAGCTCCGGGGACCCCTCTCTGCACCTCCCCGGTCCCAGGCACACGGACTTACATGCAGCACAACACCCTCCAGCACGTCCTGGGGCCGACGGAGGAGCCGCCGGCTGACCTGCCGGAGGGGAAGGGGAAGCGCCATTGGGTCACCTGCCACAGCCACGGCACAGCCACCAACGCACAGACACGCTCGGTAACACACCGAAACGGAGCTGCCCCAAAGCACAGCCAGGACTGGCCAGGAGCTGGAACCCTATCCCACTAGGAGACTGGGTGACTATTGCTGGGACTGGGGTCACTTTCCAGTTCCTTATTGGCTTTTATTTCATTACCCACCCACCGAGTGACCTGTGGAGACCCCACCACCCCCGTGTGGAGAGCAGGCACCTCGGGGGGCTGGCCAGCGGCGCGGCTCCCCAGGGAGGCCGCCAGACACCATGGCCTGTAGCAGCTTCCCTGACACACACCAGCACACCCAAGTCTCGGGACTTGCAAGGTCCCCAATGTGCTCCCAGGTCCCATCAAGAGCCCCAAGCAGGGGAGACCGAGTCAGACGGGGGAAGGGTCTCACTGATGCAGACCCCTAAGCTACAGCGAAAACCCAGGCATGAAGCCGCGTCCCGGTGCCCCTCGTGCGGGGAAAGGGAAGGAACAGGAGGGTGTGCACGGGCGGGTTTTCCTCATGGAGCAGAGGGGACTCAGCCAGGAACCGCACTCAGGGAGGACCAGGCCCACGCCGCTACCTGGAAGGGGTGCTGCAGCGCCTCCAGCACCGTGATGCGGGACGTCTCGCTCACCAGGGATGGCTTCCACAGCCGAGCCTCGATGAAGCGGGCCGCCGCGGCTGTCCCATTCTTGGCAGAGTAGACCCCGCCAGCCAGCAGCGTCAGCCCAACCACCTGCAGCGGAGACACCGCACTGGCGTGCCTGCCCCACCCTCCCTCCCTCCTAGAGCGGGAAATGCACGGGGCTGCCCCACCCTCTCTCCGCCCAAGGGAGAAGCACAGGGCTGTGTGCTGGCAGCACAGGAACCGGAATCCCAGTCACGTGGTTACAGGAGGCAGGCGGGGCCGTCACAGCGCCCTCACTCAGGGCCATTTTCTCTGCAACTGGCAGCATAAATCCTGCAAAGCCCCGGTCGCTGAGCAGGGCCCTGGGCAGACTCAGCAGGCTATGTCACAGGGCCACACCCTCTGCTACTTTCTTGGCCACTAAAATGGTACTTTATTCCTGGAAAACAAGGCTAACCCGAAATCGCTAACTTGTTTTAAAAATCAGTTACGCCGGCTGGGCGTGGTAGCTCAGGCCTGCAATCCCAGCACTTTGGGATGTCGAGGCAGCCGGATCACCTGAGGTTAGTAGTTGGAGACCAGCCTAACCCACATGGAGAAACCCCATTTCTACTAAAACTACAAAAAGTTAGCTGGGCATGATGGCATATGACTGTAATCTCAGCTACTTGGGAGGCTGAGGCAGGAGAATTGCTTGAACCCAGGAGGCAGAGGTTGCAGTGAGCTCAGACCGCGTCATCGCACTCAAGCCTGGGCCACAAGAGCGAAACTCCATCCCAAAAAATAAAAAAATAAAAAAAAAAAAGAAAAATCGTTTATGCCAGACCCGGTGGCCCATCCCTGTAATCCCAGCATTTTGGGAGACCAAGATGGGCAGATCACCTGAGGTCAGGAGTTCGTGACCAGCCTGGCCAACAGGGTGAAAACCCATCTTCACCAAAACAGAAAAATTACCCGGACACGGCGACCTGCACCTAATCCTGGCAACAGGAGAGGCTGAGGCAGGAGGATGGCGTGAACCGGGGAGGTGGAGCTTGCAGTGAGCCGAGATGGTGCCACCGCACTCCAGCCTGGGGACACAGTGAGACACTGTCTCTAAATACAAACAGAAGTCAACGGTGCATTAAGCAGCTCCCTCGTGTCCTCACGGGACACCGTCTCACCAACACGGGTGGCAACACCACCTGCGACATTCACCGTCACACTGGCGACGCCACAGGCAGGCGCTGCAGTCACAGCTCAGGGCGCCGGCACCACGGCGGAGCAAGTGCCCACTGCGTGCCAGGCACCTACTGTGTGCTGGGCAGCGGGGGACGGAGGACGCAGCCATGTGCGACGTGGTGTGCCACCACACTAGGCTGGCGCCTGCGCACAAAAGAGTGAGGCTGTAAACGAGAGAGGTATCTGTGAACTTCAAACTCTCAGGGTTTTCTGAGGAATAAAGGTTTTTTGCAAAATGGTGTCAGGGTCACCTGTTTTCTTTTTTTTTTTGAGAAGGAGCCTGGCTCTGTCCCAAGGTGGGAGTGCAGTGGCAGGATCTCGGCTCACTACAACCTCCGCCTCGTGGGTTCAAGTGATTCTCCTGCCTCTGCCTCCTGAGAAGCTGGGACTACATACACGTGCCACATGTAGAGATGGGGTCTCACTGTGTGGCCGAGGCTGGAGACTGTGTTTTCTTCTCCCAGCTCGAGGAGCAGCCCCCACAAGCCCAATTTGGCTTGTTCCGTGCTGGGAGAGCTCCAGGGCCTGTGCAGAGCAAGCAGGGACATGACCCGGGGACAGGACCCGGGGTTCCAGGAGGCCCCCACAAGCTGCCCCACAGCCACCTGCCAGCCCTGCCCGGGACACGCGTGTTTACCGTGGCTGTCACTGTGTCCCGCTCTGTCACAAAGGCACGGAATCTTTCCCCAAACACGGTGACAGCCGTCCTGCGGGGAAAGCAGTGGTGTGACCAGGACGGACACGAAGATCCGAGCCACACAGCAAGAGCAGGTTGAGGGTGAGGCCCCGACGCAGCGGCCCGATCCTGCCAGGACAGAGGGGCAGTGCCCCCACCAAGGAGCCAGCCTGGAGCAGCCAGGCCTGGGACACCTGGAGAGCGACTAGGACCAGCAACACACACCTGCAGGGCCCCGTCTGCGGCTGGCCTGGGCAGCGCTCACCTGATGGACGCCAAGAAGGTCTGATGGTGCTTCTGCACCGACTCCTCCTGCTTCCGTAAGTTCTCCTCATTGACAAGTTGCTGAGAAGTCACAGAAAAAGAGAAAAGCCTTTAAAACCAAAAAAATGCTCAACACCAGTGCAGAAGTTGTGTCTGCCCCAGGACCGGGGGCTCCAAGCGTCTCGGGCACCTGGGGCCCTGCAGATGCCACAGCCGGACACAGACACAAGTGACATCGGCCGGGACGGCAGTCGCTGAGGGGCTGCTTTCAGAACCCAAACTCCCCAGCGGCAGAAACAGCCCCCACTGCGGCTTCCCTGAGAAGGGCCACTGCGCGGCCGACCTCCCAACACCACCGCCCTGATTCACGCTGTGCTGAAGGAAGCCTCTGTCTTCTGCCAAGAAAACGTTAGAGCTACAGTGGCCACAACAGGCAACGCGTGAACCCCGCCTGTGAGCTCAGGACTGAGGGCGACGGGCCGGGCGCGGTAGCTCACACCTGTAATCCCAGCATTTTGGGAGACCGAGGCAGGTGGATCACTTGAGTCAGGAGTTCAAGACTAGCCTGGCCAACATGGCGAAACCCCATCTGTACTAAAAATACAAAAAAGCAGCTGAGTATGGTGGCAGGTGCCTGTAATTCCAGCTACTCGGGAGGCTGAGGCAGGAGAATCGCTTGAACCCGGGAGGCGGAGGTTGCAGTGAGCTGAGATCACACCACAGCACTCCAGCCTGGGTGACAGAACGAGACTCCGTTTCAAAATCAATAAAATAGAAAAAGTCCTGCTGAGCTCAAAGAAATGAGGTGAGAACGTCAAGAAGACCCAGGCTCTCCAGACGACCAGACACCCTCACCAACACTGGTCCTCCCTCTCGGGTGGCACCGCAGCAGCGTCTCTCACCTCCCCTTGGAATGAGGCACCCAAGCTCGGCCCTGGGTCCCACTGCTGCCCATGTACACGCCCCTGGCCCTACCCACCGGCAGTAGCCCACCAATCTCCACGCCCGAACCCCATGTGCACCCCGGCCTCCCCACACACACCGGCTCCACTCACTTTGAGCTTGGACTGTTGCTCCGGCTGCAACATCGGCTCCTGCATCTGCACCAGATTCACGGCGTCCTTCGACATGGCCTGCGGGCGCAGAGGCACGGAGGGCAGGTGTTAGGATACGCGCAGGACTGGGCAGGCATGCACACCAGCCTGGGGGCTTTCACACAGCCACACCTGGACCTCAAAGCCCCCAGCCCTGCCTGAAGGGGTGGCCTGCCCCTCCACACCTGTGGGTGTTTCTCGGTAGGTGGAACGAGAGACTTGAGGAAAGAAATGAGACACAGAGACAAAGTATAAAGAAAGAAAAAGTGGGCCCAGGGGACCGGCGCTCAGCATACAGAGGACCCACGCTGGCAAGGGTCTCTGAGTTCCCTCAGTATTTATTGATCATTATCTTTACCATCTTACAAAAAGGGAAGTGGCAGGATAATAGGATCATCATCGGGAGAAGGTCAGTAGTAAGACATATAAATAAAGATCTCTGTGACATAAGTTTAAAGGAAAATGCCTTGATATGCATATGCAAACATCTCTATAAATCTTTTTAGTGTACAAAGAGCAGCATTGCGCTAGCACGTCCCACCTTTCGCCCTAAGGTGGTTTTCTCCTTTCTCAGTAAACAGAACATCTCTGTTTTACACCGAGATGTTCCATTGCCCAGGGACAGGCAGCAGACAGATGCTTTTCTCTATCTCAACTGCCAAGAGGCCTTCTTTCCTCTTATATTAGTCCTCCTCAGCACAGACCCTTCATGGGTGTCAGGCTGGGGGAGGATCAGGTGTTTCCCTTCCCACGAGGCCATATTTCAGACAACCACATGGGGAGAAAGCTTGGACAATACCTAGCTTTCCTAGGCAGAGGTCCTGCGACCTTTGGCAGTGTACATGTTTTTCTTAATCTCAAGTACCCAGGGACATATACACTTGAGATTAAGAAAATGGTGATGACTTTTCACAAGCATACTGCCTTGAGGCACTTGTTTAACAAAGCACACCCTGCACAGCCCAAAATCCTTTAAACCTTGAGTCACCACAGCACATGTCTCTTGCAAGGACAAGGTTGGGGGTAGGGTCACAGATTAACAGCATCTCAAATGCAGAACAAAATGGAGTCTCTTATGTCTACTCTCTATATAGACACAGTGACAGTCTGATCTTTCTTTTCCCCACACTGCCTCACCATCCTCCTTCCCAGTCACACCTGGCGTGACGATGCCCCGTCCCCAGCACACGGGCTGATGCATTTGTGGGGTTTTATCCCCCAGGGACGGTCTTGGAGGGTCACATCGGGAAGGCCGTCCCACGTGGACGGGAGGAGGCTATTTCCCAATTCAACAGAAAGTCAGGTGATGGCTAAAGGGTCCTCTATTTTTTCACGTTACAAACGCTTTTCCTAAGTTTCCAATGGCTATTGTCATTGATCTGCTATCAGGCACGTGCAGGCAAGAACGGGAATCCATAAGAATCGGATACCAGCCAACACGCCCAGGGTGACGAGGGCAAGCGTACGACAACGTCCCCAGTTACATTTTGTTCCTGGTGGAGAATGACAGGTTGACGTTTGGGTGTTCCGGGACAGAAGTACGTATTCTCCGAGCTGCTGAGGCCTAAGCATCAGGTCTCAAAATTTTCTGGGATGACAGTTTTCCCATCACAAAAATTTACCATAAACATGTTTGGCCAGGCGCAGTGGCTCACACCCGTAATCGCAGCACTTTGGGAGGCCCAGGTGGGCGGATGATGAGGTCAGGAGATGGAGACCATCCTGGCTAACATGGTGAAACCCCATCTCTACTGAAAATACAAAAAATCAGCCGGGCATGGTGACGGGCGCTTGTAATCCCCGCTACTCCAGAGGCTAAGGCATTAGGATGGCGGCGTGAACCTGGGAGGCGGAGTTTGCAGTGAGCCGAGATCGTGCCACCGCACTCCAGCCTGGGCGACAGAGTGAGACTCTGTCTCAAAGAAATAGAACAGAACAGATTAAAAGAATGAGAGAATATGCTGGTTTCGGTGTCAAGAATCCTCTTGGGCAAGGAATTTGTCACTAACAATTGGCCAGGTATTAACCACAAATTACAAAGGAAACAGAACTAGAAAAATAAGCCTATAGAAGAGATTCTGAGACAGGAAAAAAACATCTTAGAGGAAAGAGAAACACTGATAGAGGGAACAGAGAAAGTGAGAGAGAGACAGTGTCAAAGAGAGAGAGGAAAGGATAGAAGTAAAGAAAAGCAATCTGCCCCATTCTTTTAAAAGCAAGAGTAGGCCCAGCGTGGCAGCTCAGGCCTGGAATCCCAGCACTTTGGGAGGCCGAGGAGGGCGGATCACGAGGTCAGGAAATCGAGACCATCCTGGCTAACACGGTGAAACCCTGTCTCTAAGAAAAATACAAAAAATTAGCCAGGCACGGTGGCAGGTGCCTGTAGTCCCAGCTACTAAGGAGGCTGAGGCAGAAGAATGGAGATTGCAGTGAGCCGAGATTATGCCACTGCCCTCCAGCCTGGGCGACAGAACAAGACTCCATCTCAGAGAGAGAGAGAGAGAGAGAGAGAGAGAGAGAGAGAACCCAGGAGGTGGAGCTTACAGTGAGCCAAGATCGCGCCACTGCACTCCAGCCTGGGCGACAGAGAGAGACTCCGTCTCAAAAAAGAAAAAAAAATAGAGCTAAGAAAGTTTCCTAATAATTGGTGTGCTTAAGCATATTGAGCTGTTTGCACTCAGCCAAGCCTTAAAATACTTAGAGAACCAGGAAGGAACCATCTATACCAATTCTAAGTATGCCTTTGACGTGGCTTATACATTAAAAATATATATGTATTAGACGGAATGAAGTACTATTAATAGCAAAGGATAATTAAAATCCCAAACTTACAAAGTTCTCAACAAAAGTAAAGTTTGCTCTAAGTTATCAGTGTAGGCCGGGCGCTGTGGCTCATGCCTGTAATCCCAGCACCTTGGGAGGCCGAGGCGGGTGGATCACCTGAGCTCAGGAGTTTCAGAGCAGCCTGAGCAACATGGTGAAACCCCATCTCTACTAAAATACAAAAAATTAGCCGAACGTCTCGGCCTGAACCTGTATCCTAGCTACTCAGGAGGCTGAGGCAGGAGGATCGTTTGAACCCGGGAGGCAGAGGTTACAGTGAGACAAGATGGTGCCACTACACTCCAGCAAGGGCGACAGAGCGAGACTCTGCCTCAAAAAAAAAAAAAAAAAGTGCTATTCCAAACATCAGACATTACGTAAGAATACCACACTCCTTGACACCCACCCTCATCAGGGAAAGTAGAAACAATGAATGAGACTTTAAAGAACCACTTGAGGCCAGGCGCGGTGGCTCATGCCTGTAATCCCAGCCCTGTGGGAGGCCGAGGCAGGTGGATCTCAAGGTCAGGAGATCGAGACCATCCTGGCCAACGTGGTGAAATCTCTTTCTACCAAAAACACAAAAATTAGCCAGACACGATGGCATACGCTTGTAGTCTCAACTACTCAGGAGGCTAAGGCAGAAGAATGGCACGAACCCAGGAGGCAGAGCTTGCAGTGAGCCAAGGTCGCACCACTGTACTCCAGCCTGGGCGACACAGCAAGACTCCATCTCAAAAAACAAATAGCCAATCGGATTTAGATTGTGAGGTCTAACGCTGGCCAATAAGGGAACCACACAGCAGTAGGCGCTACCTGTGTCAGGAAAAAGAACTTTCCCGTCCCTTGTCCAAGCGCTCGCCATTGCTCCATCTATGAGACGCCCCTTTCTTTTTTTTTTTTTTTTTTTTTTGAGACGGAGTCTCACTCTGTAGCCCAGGCTGGAGTGCAGTGGCCGGATCTCAGCTCACTGCAAGCTCCGCCTCCCGAGTTCACGCCATTTGCCTGCCTCAGCCTCCCGAGTAGCTGGGACTACAGGCGCCCATCACCTCGCCCGGCTAGTTTTTTGTATTTCTTAGTAGAGACGGGGTTTCACCGTGTTAGCCAGGATGGTCTCGATCTCCTGACCTCGTGATCCACCCATCTCGGCCTCCCAAAGTGCTGGGATTACAGGCTTGAGCCACCGCGCCCGGCCGAGACGCCCCTTTCTATAGAAGTAAATTTCCTAGCTGAGAAAAATGTACATTCGAGTGCTACTTCTTTTGCAACACCGAAAATTTACGTATAACACAGTGAGCCGCCGAGATCTCGCCACTGCACTCCAGCCTGGGCGACAGAGCAAGACTCCGTCTCACAAAAAAAAGAAAGCCGGCTAAGCACGGTGTCTCAGGCCTGTAATCCAACACTTTGGGAGGCTGAGGCAGGAGGATTGCTTGAGCCCAGGAGTTGGAGACCAGCCTGGGAAATCAAGAGAGACCCCGTCTCTACCAAAAAATAAAAAGAGGAGGAAGAGGAAAACCAAATGAGTTCCCCAGCCATAGCCAGACGCCCCCGCCGGCCCCCGAACCCCCCAGTGGCCATCAGGAAGGGCTTGGTTTTATTTTTATTTTTATTTATTTTTTATTTATTTATTTTTAGACGGAGTCTCGCTCTGTTACCCAGGCTGGAGCGCAGTGGTGTGATCTCGGCTCACTGCAAGCTCCATTTCCCAGGTTCATGCCATTCTCCTGCCTCAGCCTCCCAAGTAGCTGGGACTACAGGCACCCGCCACGACACCTGGCTACTTTTTTGTATTTTTAGTAGAGACTGGGTTTCACCGTGTTAGCCAGGATGGTCTCCATCTCTTGACTTTGTGATCCGCCTGCGTTGGCCTCCCAAAGTGCTGGGATTACAGGTGCGAGTCACAGTGCCCAGCCAACAAATATTTACAATTAGCGGGCGTGGTGGTGCACACCTCTGGGGCTAATTAGGACCTAGTAGGGTATGGCTACTGGACAGGCTGAGGCAGGAGGATCACTGGAGCCTCAGAGGGCGAGGCTGCAATGAGCTATAATCACACCACTGCACTCCAGCCTAGGCTCAGAGTAAGAACCCATCTCTGAAAGGAAAATGAGAGAGAGAGAAATGGAGAGAGTGGGCAGAGGTGAACCGCCTCCCTCCAAGCACTGCAGCTCCCAGGGTTCTGTCTGCTCTCTGACAGACCCGCTGCATGCCCAGGCTCCTCTTCTGTTTCCTACTTCCGCCAACACCCCACACCCTTCCTAAGGACACAAAGTGCAGAAAGCAGTTTATGTTTCATCGGCTAATATGAGGCTCTGCGCGATCGCACTGTGCTGTTTTGCCCTGCGATTCCCCGCGACCACCCCTG